AAAACGAAGTTTTTTAAAGTTTTTCATGTTTTTGCCAAATTAGTGCTGAGATGTTCTAGTATTTACATTTGTATAGTACAAGCCGTTAGCAGTGAAACTTTACATTTTCAGCCTTCTAAAACAGCTGATTTACGAGAAATAACGAGTCTAGCTCTCCTTATCCAAATTTTTCTTGCCTAGTTGCTAAAAATTCGATATTTCTCGTAAACCAGCTGCTCTAAAGAGCTGAAAATTCACATTCACGCTTCTAAGGTTCTATACTATACAACTGTCAGTGCTAGAACATCTCAGCATTGTTTTGGAAAGAACATGAAAAACTTCGTTTTCTCATCGTCTAGTTGAGGAAAAAAATACAGCAACCGCATAGATAAATGTCTTACATGGAACGTCTACGCGTGAGCAAGAAAGAAAATTTGTGTGAGCTTTTTGAACGAAGTTACAATTTTTTTAAGATCTGTCTTAAGGTTTTCGGACGCATGGTTTTTTTCAGTTTTTGGCTCAAAACTTCGCGTGGATCAAAGCTGGTGTAGATATTTGGGCACTACCTTGTAGAGCTAGGTTTGCGCTATCAAATGATATATCGAAACCTACTTGGGATATAGGATTATTCCGAGTTATTGCGGTCTGTACCTATTTTGGTGCAGGAATTATGCATCAACCTAATAAATTTGGTTTTCTATTTCCTCCATAGTTGCCTGTTGTTGATGCTGGACCTATGGGAATATCTATGCTAGTAAATATAGAGCCACATTCTCATAGTGCCACGTTTGACTATGATGGATTTGCCATATACACCATCAAAGAGTAGATCTGGTCATCTTATACGAGTTTCCATAAAAAGACTTTAGTGAGGGTATGATGCAGGTAAAGATTGAGCTAAACTACCCTTTACGTCATGAATATCTAAGATGACTTGTGACTCATCCCGCACAGATATATAATCTCCACTCATATATCGGCTTCCAGGCAAATGTACGTAAGGAAGGATTTTCTTATGTGATCTTAATGACAGCAAGGGAGGACGAGTAATTTTTACAAGGAAATAAAGATTAGTCAAAGTTACCTTTCAATATGGGTTGAGCCTTAAAGGGTATAAAACACTGACTCCAGTCTAGCTTCTTTAATGCTGCAGATTTTTGAGCGTTGAGTTATGAAGGCTTTTATGAGCAAAACTTGATTTTGCAATCGGGATAAAATCAGTCTAGTTTTTTCCCAGAGTTCAAATGATTGTCGGGTTAATCTCTGCATTAGTTATTTTTGAACATATCCACTGAACGCTGCCTATTTTAAACGCTATAAAAGTCGACGACCGATTTTACACTGATCATGTCTTTATGGGCAGAAAAGTGAATTGAATTTCATCAAGTTTTTTGCCCATAAAAACATTTATAACTCCTTGCTCAGGAACCTGAGCAAACGCAGATTTGGAATCAGTGTTTTGTAAATACTTTTGAAGTAGTATACATCTAAAGTCGAAAAGCCGGTTCGACTAACCTTCCTTTCCTCGTTGATTACTTTGTGCACTTTTAAATCACTTACAGAATTTTTTGTTCTAGTAAATTTGAAAAATATAGTGAGGTCGATGGTAAGTCCTGGAGTTGCTTAAATCTTCTTCAAAGCCATTAGGTAATTCCTTCACTGATTTGTCCGATTTGCACCAAGATTGGTGAATCTTTCTATTTAGACTTTCAGATAACCGTTATTAACATTATAATTTTATTTAACAATCTGACATCCAGTGAGATTTATTGTCGACTGCCTGTGAAGGCATAAATTTTATGTTTTTACTTGTCATTCATCAAATGATGCTCCCTATGTACCCGTTTAACTGTAGAAGTGATTTTCTTTCCGTCAGAATGCGCAAAATTTGCGCGACAGCTTGCGTAGGCTGAGGTGCGAAAGATATTGTTAGTATATCACTTTGCAGCTCTCGTGTACCCAAGCCGCGCCCGAGAGCGACGAACTGTCAAGGCGCCACCCGAAGTGGGGGCGCCGGTATGCGAGCAATGCTCTCCCAGATGTTGCTCATGAACTGGTCCGGGTCTGAGTCAGAGCGATTGTTTGATCGCAGATGTGGACGCGGACGCGATGAGCAGGCAGCACCCACTAGGTAAACACAGCACATTACGCAAATTGAAAACTTACGATTAGGTTCACGCGCATCCCTGCGGTGCGGGGGCGAACGCGCAAATCCTGCACGCGAGGCTCAGGGTGTTTACACCCGGCTGTCGTCAAAGCCGCATATGGAAGCAGCCATAAATAAGGAATTATGTTGAGTGCGAATGAGCCGAACCCGATCTCGACCCGATATCAACGCGTCGCATGTGCGTCACAGCCAAATGCTGTTGACTTACGGTCTTTTTCTGCTCAGTCGCACTTGCATGAAAAGGCGCTCGAACATCCCGAGTCATGCATGCTCTGCTGCACTCATCCCGACCTCATCGCCTCATCTCCACTCTCAATTTTGCCCAAATTTCACATTTCGTTTAGGATCAGAGCAGATTTAGATTTTGAATGCGGAAGAATGATACACTAATGTATAATACATGAAGGTCAATTTTTACGTGAAGTATTGCCAAAGGAAACAGTGTTTATCTACTGATTATCGATGGACCTGTAGTTTGGTGACTTATTACAAACGCACAGAACATCCTTATCGTTTGACTTATATTATGTTAAACCGAAAGTTCTGTCGCACCATTTTCAAAAAATCGTAACTTCCTTCTTTCACGATAGTCTTGCATGAGAAAAATACCACTAGAAAGAGTAGCTCATGTACTTTCCAATGACACCTCGCCTGCTCTCATCTATTCTTTGATCGCAGAAATAAAAATGAGAAAAGAAAATCACTCCAGGTTCGGAATTGTGATGCAAGCCCGTTAAAAATCCAGAACTGCGCCATAAAATCCAAAACAGCCAGTATTCTAGATTATTTGACCTCCTCTCTCTACAAGATTACAATTTGCGCTGGTCGAGCTGTTCTTTGAAAAGTCATGTTTTTTGAGAAAAGTGGTAAAAAAACAATTCTCTTGAGAAACCGATTTTTCTTCTCGAACATTAAAACATTTTTGAGAAAAGCTCGATCAGCGCGAAATTCGCTCAACTAGAAAGAGAAGATCTAAAAACCTAGGTAACTGACTCTTTTGGATTTTATTGCACAGATTAGGAGTTTTTAAATGGCTTGCCTCAAACTCAGAAATTAAGCTAATCCTTTTCACAATTTCATTTGTGCACTCAGAGCATGGAAGAAAGAGAACAAGGTGTATTCAGAAAGTGATGAACTGCTCTTCCCCTAGTAGTATTTTTGTAATGGAAAACTATAGTGACAATAAGAAGTTACAATTTTTTGAAAATGGCGCGACAGAACTTTTGGTTCAACCTGATATATCGTCGTGAATCTCTAGTATATGCTTTCCTTGATGTCTGGAGAGGGAGAATGCAATAAAGTAAAACACCAAAATATTAGTTACATGAAAAAAAATCGCCTCCCAATGGGGGTACGGGATTCGAAGTGCAATGTTAGTGGTGTGCCTTCTGACATATTAGATTGTGAAAATCAACCGACTATTTTTCATTTTTATTCAGTCATTATTACACTTGAAGTGCACAGAAAAAAAGAAACAGAATTTTGAAGAAGAAGAAAGAGAAAGAAAAATTAATAAAATTAAACTTTTCTTTCTAAGGAACAAATCTAAAAATTTTATGCTATGCTACTTGAAAGCATTCCCGCGAGAGCTTAAACAGTAGTAAAAAAAATTTTTGGATAATTTTTGTGATATTAAGTTACCTTTTCCGATTTTTCTTCAATTTGATTGGGAATTGCATCTAGTTTTTTTGTGTAACACGTAACACCAATTCTGTACTCAATATGCTACACATCACGCTCGGCATCCCACAACTATTGCCCTTGCAAACTGAGAAGGTATTTTCTTGCGTTTTTCTGTGCAAGCAGCTAGAAGTAATCATTTATCTAGAATTTGCTCCATTGAGTTGGTTCGATGATGAACAATCAAAGTGCGGGATATCGTGCGCGCTGTAAAAATTTACATACTAATTTCAGTGATTTACAAATTTAACTAAATAGATTTGACTTTTGATATACGCAGTGCCTTTTTGCCACTTACAGTAGTCACGCGAAAATCTTTCCAGCCTTTCACTGCTGGAACTGAGAGTGAAAATGGGCTATGAGCACATTTCTGAGATTTTCGGCCTCCGCCATTTTCTGCCAAACGTTGTTGGCACCGTAAAGTCACCATAACGTCTTCAACCGTGAGTGTCGAAATTGAATGGGTGATAGCCGAAGAATTATAACATAATTCTCAGATCGTAAAAGGCGCCTTGTGCCTCTCGCTCAAATGCAAAAATTTATAGAAAATTCAGCTAATAGTTTCTTCTCCGCTAATCCGAACTGGAACATATCTATCACTCAAAACTTGGATCGCTTTGGTTTGGATATTGGGTGTTGGGGTTGAGGAGGGAAAGGCAAGATTGACCTTTCATCAAGTTAGGCGATGAGAAACTACGGTATCCATAAACTAAGGGTTTTTACTCGCTCTGAATCAATTAATCATTGCACCTTCATAAATCAAAGATCCATGGAAAATTTGGGAACTGAACGAAAAGTCAGTCTTGGTTCTGTCGTCAGCCTTAGTTCTCCATCAGTAACAATGTTGATTTGAGGTCTTCTTACACCAGAAAAACGATTGAATACAACATTGTATTTGGTTTTTTTGGACTTAAACTGCATAAATATGCTCAAACATTCATGAAAAATTGATCCCCTAACAAATCGTTCAACGTGAGTCACGGATGGAACCGGTTTGATAGTCCCCTGCTGAGACCTATCACTGTCAAAGAAGTGTACTTTGCCAACAAGGAAAGAGGCAAAAACTGAAATAACGCGAACATTCGGGCGCTGCGTGCCTAGGTGCGAGATCGAATTTGATGATCTCGAAGATAGACAGCTATACCAGTCTCCCCTTATATTCGTTTTGCGTCCAGCACTATGCCGCACACGTGGAAACTTCGTAGACAACTGACTTTTGAGCCGATGGAAGCAATTCCTGACGAAGGCGAACAAGGTATCACTTTCTGTTCTTCTATTGAGCATTTGAACATGTTCTTCGTTAACATTTATCTGACTTATTTACTTCTATTTGATTTTTTATACAACTTTAAGCGCGCAAAAATTGAAATGCTTGAGAAGAGGACAGTATGTCGCCGACTGGCTCTAGCCGCGCTGGCACCTGGCACAAGGCTTTAATGCTTAGAGGCGCATATAAGTTGCAGATAACGACTTGGGACATCCCCTTCAACGACATAATGTCCTTTACCCAAGATTATTCAAAATAAAACACAGACAGTAAGCTAAATGATATAAGCCTACTACTAACCATTGAAATTAAAATGGCCCTTTTTTATGCAGACTTGAAGAAAATAAAGTAGCCGTCTAATTATTCTTAACTTGCGTAGAATATCCTTTAGAAGTCCCTACCAGGTCAACACTGGCTGACCATGGGTTAGGGGCTGCAAAAGCATGCTGGTTTGACGTGCATGAGCTGAAAAATTGTACAACTGACTTGTTTTTACTTGCACATGCAAATAATTTTTCAAGGCTTTTAAACACACATCATATCAACGCCTGAGAAAGATTTGAGGGCTAGAGGTTCTTGGCAAGCATCCCAGCTTTTTGAGGTGTGATTAACAACTCCGCCTTTATATGAGAAAAGTTTTGTCGAAATTACTCACCCCGAAAAAATTCCAAATTCACCGCTACAAATCAGTGATTGTGGATGTATCATTTTATACGTAAAACAAATAAGCAGTGAATTTTGGAAATTACGGTTAGGTGCATTTTATTACTATCAGTGCAATTACAGTTATTGGGAATAAAGGCACGAGGAGTACCGGTTTTTGGTACGACTTTGCTAGTCAAAGTACAGTTTGCTCCAATCGGGATCGGGCCAAACCTTCGGGGTAAATTTGCGCGCTCGCAACGCTAGCGGTCTGCGCTGCATATGCGCGCTGTCGGAGAGAGCAAAAGGATTGAAGAGAGAGCAGAGAAGCAGGCCGTGGGCGTGACCGCGAAACCCTAGCTACGCGGACTCCCGCCATGCCAATTTTGGCCTGGTTGGGATTGGGGCAGACTGTAGTGCCTATAATATTGAGATTATGTAAAGTAGAACTATATTCTTTCAATAACAACTAATTTTCAAGTGTTTTTATTTGGCAGAGGGATTACAAATTACTTCTGGAGTGATTGTAAGTGGCGGTAATTTTTAGCCATAATCGGCTTGATTTGGGAAGCTTTTTCTCAAAACTATTGTGCAAAAATTACTCACCTATTTCATGTGAAAGCATTATTTTCTGCCTGTAAATAACCAGAATCTTTCACCTTTGATCTAATCACATATCCTAAACAAAGCACGGTATAATTCAAGGAAAGTCTGTCTCTGTGTTGCAGAAGTACTTGGCACAATAGAAGGATTAAAAGAAGGCTATGTTTGCCTAATGACTACGTTTCTACAATCCTCACATCCCTCATTTTGCTCTGTTTACCAATTACTTCAGATAACCTGCAAGGTTTTGCAGCATAGAGCATAATATGAGCACATTTTCCAATGCTAAACTGCTGACCCGTTGTTATATGCCCTGTATATTCCTTGAACTTTTGTGTGATCTCGCCAGCACATCAAACTTGGAATCTGTCACTATTCCAAATTTATTACTATTTCTCCCTCAGAATTCTTCCCAATTGGATTGTTGGAAAACTGTGTGACTTCTTTTGCTAGAAGTTTACATTTTTTCATAGTATGAAGGATTGTTACGATCGAATATTTCTAGCATGATTTGAGCTCCGCCATAAGATAAGCACCAAATACAGTGCTTATAAAACTTATAAAAAATCTAGTAGGCCCTACAAAGTTTTTCTCAACTCTTTATTAGTCTGTAAGCAAGTCTTACTGATTCTAAAATTGGGCTTTGGATTATAGAGAAGATTAGCGAATTTCCTGATACCAAAAATTGAAGTTCGATTTTGTTCGAGACCATCCTGAACGGCTCAGCACAGGTGGCTTGTAAGCAAGCTGGATATGGTTTTTGGGACAAAAAGCAAAAGGGGAAGCGTTTTTGAGGTGCCGAGACTAAAAATTGTGAAGTTTTTTTAGTCGACGTTTCGTTTTTTGAGGATTTTTTTTACATTTAGGGTTTAGGGTCAAAAAGAATTTCTGCGAAAGTCAAGGGGGATTTCGTTTTTTGCATTTTCCAAAAGCCCCTCGTGCCGAGCCCTGATCCTGAATGAATAACTTTGTAACTGATATGATCTGTGTTCAGATGACTCAAGGCTTAGCTTGTATCCATCCTACTCGCGAGCTTCCAAAGAATTCTGATTCTTTGTTCATTACATCGTAACATTGTCTCGGCCATTATGTTTATATGCACTCTCGCTTGACAGAATGTGAAACATTACTCCGATTGTATGATTCTTTTTCCATCGTTGTTATTTCAATAGTTTGTGCTTTCTGTAACAAATTTCTGTTCCAGAGACGTTAGCAACGGCGACAAATCTGGGTGTTTCGCTGGAAACTCGCCCCTCCTACGCTGCAGAACTGGCACCAGCAGATCCGAAAATCACCAGAAAACCACTGATCAAAGTGAGTGACCACGATGTCTTTGAATGATTAGATTTGTAGTTCTTCAGTATTATATTAATCATAGCCTTAAGACTCAGTAGAATCAAATCTCCTTTTGTGAAAAATCTTGAGTAAAAAATCCAAAAAAATTTTTGTTGTCAGGTGATATTGGGCAATTACCTTTTAACTATTACTAGTCGTGGTTAGGATGCAGCTTGAAAATTGTGAGTTTCTATGGGCTTTATGGTTATTTCGACCTTTCTGATAAAATATAGGGTGAGCTACTTATCGCCAGAAGAAAGCAAAAATTTCGTTCTTTTATGAGAATTTTACTATTTTTTGCTTAAAAAACCTATCTTTGTTTCCATATTTTTTTCAAATATATTTGAATCATATTCATATTTTTGATTTTTGTTCAGAGTGTTGGAATACTGGGGTTCCGAAAATGTTTTATACTCAATTAAGCCATAAAAAGAAACAGAATATTCTCATTTTTGAAACATCTGAAACCCAATCGAAAGTCATTGTTTTTTACCGTAATATTTGAAGCTGCGAACATCGATGCAAAACAGATAAGTGCAGTACAAAGCGCAGTGTTCTCTTTTTAGACACCTTGATAACCTTTGTCTACGATAAGCACTAATAATGTCTAGGCTAATACACGGTATTAAGAGTCGCGATTCCACTGTTGACACTTTGGCTCAAAAGTCTTGTGGAAATGCGACAACTCGCAAGCTTTGTGAACTTAGCACGAGTCAAAACCACAGCTCAATCATCTGGGTTATGGTCTCGAGGAGCATTTCATTGAAAATCACAGAAAAAAATCCCTTCGTTTTCCCTTTGGTATGCGTCGATTTCAAGTCTTCCCTGCAAATTTTCAATAAGGGAATGATTAAAAATCAAGTTAACAGTGATTTAACTTGATAATGGTTAAAGTAGTAATAATAGTAATGTAATTCGATAGTGAACTAAGTTATTTGGGTATTTTAAAGATTATAAAAAAATTTTCTACCACGAAAAAGCCAGATAATACATAGTAATTGATTTCATATCTACAGTTTTTGTAGCTCAACCTAAAATGGTTGTATTTTACCCAAAGTAAGCAATGAGTTCCACATTTCTCTATCTAATTCGTAACTATAGTTAAATTATGATTTTTGCTAAATCTAGCATCGGTTGTTGCATCTTTGAGGTTAACAAGTTCCGTTAAGAATAAGTGCTACTGGAGCTGGTTTGTAAATAAGAAAGTCTCAAATCATGTAAAAAGTTCTACTTAGCTTTTCAATAGTTGCAGTCAATTATAATCTGATTTGTTCGCACATCAGATACGATTGATGAACTGATACGTAACCCTTTTTGTGATTACAACCCAATAAAAGAGCAAGTACTTAGTAATAATGAACGTTATCCTTGAAGAGATCTTTATTTCTTGAATTTTTGGTCTTGTCTGAAAAATTTCAACGCGCAGATTTGACGACGATAATATCTATAGGTAATCTCATACTGATTATTATCGTGATTTCACAGTTCATTTTTGCAACAAAAAAAACAGAGATTGTGAGTTCCGAAAAACGCGCACTTGCGCTCTTCATCAATTTACCCAAAATGAGGAGAATAGCTGTTGAGCAAGGAACAGTCTTTGTTGTTTTTTGGAAAACAAGCCGAAGTACTCCTTTTTGCCTTTTGTTTTTCTTGCAGTCTGTATTGCATTGCTGAGCCTGTTTTTCAGATAATGCTTTGTAAAAAATAGTTCTGCTAATTTGCTTGAATCTGTTTCCATACAAAAGCAAACGTTCGAATTGGGGCTTACGCAGTCACACTCTAAAGTTGTTGGGAAACATTAGCAAGGGCGTTTTCTTACCCTGCCGAATTCGTTGTTTGCTAGAAAAACTGTACGGCGTCATTATTCGGCAAACATTACACGGATGTTCTTTCCCACGTGACCTCCCTTGTGGTTAAAAAGGATTTAACACCCCATAAAACTGAAACTTGCTTATGCAAGGCTAGCTGAGTCATCCTCGGTGAAAAAAATTCTGTGCAGGAAGAATTCCTTTATTAGCTAGCTCTGGAAATTACCTGTCAGTATGGAAAGAAAACAATGCGCTTTCGGTATTTTTAGAAAAAGCTGATATTTGTCAGAAGATGTGTACAAGGCCATAACTTCAAGGTTAAGTCTAAAGCTTTGTAGTATTTTAACCGCATGTATGGGATAACCCACGATCGTTAGGAGCAACTTGCCACTTGCCAATTTTTTTCTTGGTATTTATTATCTTGGAATTTAACCCGTAATTCACATGTCTTTTGAAATGAAATCATTTATGCTTTAGTTATCTACAGCCCTTTGATTTATGACTGTTTTCGCCCTTTCTTTGTCATTTTCGTCTTTCTGAGGTTTGAGACTAGCTGGTATCGCGTTGGTTTGAGTTCTTATTTTTTGGTACTTTTCAAATCGTAGTGATAAATGAAAAAAATGAAAATGAAAAAAGTACAACAAAGTGTGTACATGGATGATTGCTTATGTGTAGTCCACGAAAGAGCAAGAGGCTTAGCGGAATTTTCTGGGCGAAGCAATTTTTTGGTAATGATCTGTTCATATGATTGCACTTAAAATTGTAAAACACCGCTTAAACGAGATTTGATGAAGTTCTGCTGCTACACGCCTTTTTTGGTTCTCATCAATTTTCCAACGGTACAAACTGTTCCCATATCCAAAAACGGATAGTTTTCTTATCGACATGATTTTGAGTTTTGGTTAGAGTGTTCTGTTTATGAGTCTTCCTTATTTTTTTACTCGTTGCGACCTTTTTTAAACTTGCTTCAAATTGTTTGAAAACTTTTTCTACGTTACAAAAACTATCACATAGAAACCAGATCGGATTGCATACATGCCAAATAGATTTTTTCAAGGACATCCTAACCAAAGTAAACAACGATTCAAGCAAAACGCTACATACTTGCGAATATTTACTTTCTGCCCTATGAAACAGCGCTGCATCTCATTTTGACCAAAACTTGGCTCAGCTTCACTGATATGGTTTACCATTGGCGGATTCACAATTCCGTGTAGTTCTACGAGGCTTGCAAAATTGATCAACTTTTTGATGCTTTACAAATAAGAATAGTGACTTGCCTAATTTTAGGACTAATGTAGACCCTTTTCAAAAGTCTCTCTACTCATTTATTTGAGGATGGCGAGTTCGGGGACTACCACACATATGCCCATCTGGTAGATCGCTTGTGCGACGCTTCGTACAAGGCCAGGAAAAGGAGGATGGGAAAAGCTCATAAGATGGGAAAAAATTCTTTCATAACTACTTCTTTAGGTGAGAAAATGAAACACAAAAACAAAATGATCCTGCCGATGCCTCAAAAAGGACTTTTGATAAGATACCGCTGAATATACAAAAATGCACTTTGTTGTGAAAAAGAGATAATCTTTTCAACCCGAAGGCAAGAGAGGGGGGGGGGTAGAGACAGATGTATAGGGTTCACTGACGTTCACAACAAAGATTTGCAAATGAGCGCAATTCACCTGGAGACTGTGGGTGTAGCTAAACAGCAAAATTTTTATTTGAATTCTCATAAATGAGTAATTTTATGAGACATCTCATTTAAATTATCACAAAAAGTAATTGCGTGATTATGGCTACCGGTGAGTGGCATCAAAACTTTTATGGAAGGATGAATCGGCTACAAGCACGCGGGAGAGAACACTCTTTCGAACCACTCAAGTTTTGAAGTACTATTCGTTCAACCGTCGAATTTGTGATTCGTAATCTTTTCGACAAACATCGTGAGATGAATCACGAGCAAGGTCTGGTGCCAGGAGGACCTGTATATGAGTGGACAGGCTTTATCATACTTTGGAATTCTACATCTAATCAAATTGAATTCATGGGAAGATGATATATGAATGAAATCTCATTTTCCAAACTGTAGCTGAAGAAAGGGAACTGGATTTGATCTTTTAAGGAGCTGGGGGATTTTGCGAATTAGTATTGGTTATATACTTGAAGAGAAATGATACTGCGGAAGTTGGGGAATTGCCAATAAACCGGATTAATGTTATTACACCAATTATTCACACTTACACGGATGTCCAAAATGTAACTCAAAAAAACATGGATGACCGATTTGCGAAGGCTTGTAACACAAGAAGAGGCTTTTGCGTAGATCATTTTTGAAACGTTTTACTATTTGTATTTATTTTTAGTATAATTTTTCCGCGAGCTCGCTTGAAATGGAAGTTAGTTATATTTGTACAAATCTATATTATTTTGATTTTGATTTCAGAGAATAGATACATCGATGGTCACAATTACAAGATAAGCAAGGACGAAAATTTGAAAAAAAAAGGACTCTTCTGATTAGATGTAAAGAACGGGGCTCGGCACGAGGCGGCTTTCCGAAAATGCAAAAAACTAAGTCCCCCTTGACTTTCCCAAAATTTTACGAAGTCCCCCCTGGACCCTAAACCATAGTCCTAAAAAATCTCCAAAAAACAAAACTTGACCAAAAGACGTCGCAGATTTTGTGTTTTTTCGGCCACAAAAACGAAACCCCTTCACTTTTCGCCCAGGAACGATATCCAGCTTGCTTTGTAAGCCACCTGCCGAGCCCTGGTAAAAATAAGCTTATGGAGTCATGCAGTGACAATTAATGTGAAATTTTCTCCACCTTGAAAAATTTAGGATGTGAGGGCAAAAACTACTATGGGCGATGAAGCTCGAGAAGAGCGTAATCTGTTGGCAAGGCAAGATGCAAGCGTTTCCAGTTTCAATCGACGGAGTCCTCTTGGAAGGTGGGTGAATTTGAATTGAAAGGTTGAAATCTTTTCTGTAAGGACGTAAATACGAAGGTTGAGCCGGTACTAATGTTTCTATTCTGTAAAATCTTGAATTTCCGTTCCTCCGACAGTTTTTCCTTGCTTCATTTTGTTTTGAAATCTTAGTAGAACTGTATCCAAAGAAATCGACTTGAACTGTTGTATACATTGCATAACCACTGCTGTGAAATAGATTTATTATGTACAGTCTAATAGACCCAATGCTCATAGCAGGGCTCGGCACGAGCTGGCACCAGAAATTTCAGAACGAAGTCCCGTTTGATTTTGAAAATTTGTACGAAGTCCCCTTTGACCTGTTTTGAAGGCCCGTCATTATTTTTAGATTGCGTAAAAGGATGTAGTAGGGTTTCATACATGCTGAATTCAATGAACAACTTTTCACAGCTTTCTGAGCTTTTACGTGGTTGAATACATCCTGAGAAGCAGAAAAAGACTTTTTCGACTGCGGAGCAGACTGAGTAATTTTCAGATGGCTATAAAACGCTGGAAAGAAAACATTATGAAATTGTTTCTTCTCTGTATGTAAACTTTTGCAGTGTAGATACATTTTATGTAAAAAAGTATGAAATAAATAATAATAATAATAAAAAATAAAGAAATCTTATGTGAGCAAAGTGTCGGTGCCAGCTCAGCTGGCACCCAGCTGGCACGGTGCCAGCTAATTCAGAAAAAAGTTCGGCACAGCTTTCATTCACATAAGTTTTCATAAAATTTTGGGCCATAGTTCGGGTCCACCAACGCGCATGCACACACCAAATTTGGTGTCATACTAGTGCATTTTGGCTGAAAACTACGCCTTTGTTTGTTGATGGACAGCATGCCGGTAGCATGCCGGCGGCATTCTTGCGCACTTCTCCGCCCCGGACCCCGAAAAAACGATATCCCCTTTGCTTTCTGCCCTAAAAACGATATCCAGCCTGACCCGGTGCCAGCTGTGCCGAGCCTTGGGTCATAATGTTTCTGCGGTGACGACAACATTTGCGCGAGTACAAATTCCAAACTTGCTTGTGCCGACGGCTTGCTTACGATGCGCTTGAAATGGGCCGTAGAGCAAATAAGATTCCACTGTTGATCAATTTTATTATTAGCATGGAAATAATTAAATGCACTAATCTAAATTTGAAACACTAATTCTAAAAAAATATGAATCTGATGACAAGCGCGGGGATTTCCATAGTTGTGGTTTGGGCTATTTTTGCTTCCTCATATGTGCATTTTGATTTTTGAGGATGTTTAATGCATAATAAAAATAATAATGATATAATAAAAATAAAATGAAACAGTAACAAAAATAGAATGAAAGACATTGTTCTTTCTTTTTGAGCCATACACGAGATTGATAACTGATTTATTTAATTCACGGCTAACGTTTCGGCTATCCACTATCCAGCTAAAATAAAATAATAAAAATGATCAATAATTGTAAAAACATGATAATCTACAAATTTTTCTTCTCCGAGATTTGAGTCATCTCATCCTCATCCTTACCAATTCAACTCCCACACTTTATTGTTTTTCATTGTCTATAAGTGCGTCTATAAGTGAGTAAGTTTGCGAACGGCGCTGAACTCTTTCAAAGACACACTTTTTATGGCGCGACGTAGCAGTGACGAACCGCCCTGCTATCTGCTTTATAGGGGCAGCGCTATCTGTGAACCTGCAGTCGTTATTTCGACCCCGTTCTGGCATTTCGCATCGAACAAACTCGTACCATGCCTTCCCAGTATTTCCACAGTTCTGCTGCTAAAGCCCGTACTGCAAATGACATTGCCCGTATTCGCGTACGTTCCACACCGACCAGCCCGCTACCTTCTGCACTGCGATCATCGAATGCGGATTCGTGGAAAATTCGTTCGTGGTCATCTCGCGGTTCTGGAGTTCCACTCTCCAAAGCAAGAGCCAGGCTTGGAAGATCGGTAACGATAGAAGATCCAGCCTACTCTCCGTCCAGACCCGAACGTCTGGTTCTGCCTGATAGTGACGACGAGTCTCTGCTCGATACCATTCACGAGGACCACAAGTATGAAGATTCTGACACTGACGACGATCTGGTGACTAGGTTTGTTTTAAATTCTTGCTTCTCGCTCTTGGTCAAGTAGTTACTGTAACGGATTTGGGTCGATATAGTGCCCCTGCGGTGACGACAATAATTGTGCGGAAACAATTGCCGTACATTTGATTGCCGAGAACTTGCTTGAGAGCTCGTAAAAAACTTTTGCAAAGCTGTCGGCAACACAGGAAGCGCTATATCAAGCAATTTCATTACGCTATTAAAATCCTTGTGATTTTCAACGATTAGTGTGAACTTGGACTTTGAAGTGCTCCTGCGGTGAGAACAATATCTGCGCGTAAATAATGGCTATTCGTGCACAATATCTGGCATTCAATGACAACAATTTTTTTGCGAAAATCGTCGGCAAGAACACTAAATAAGACGTAGATGTCAATGCACAGATTCCGATTTCGTCAACTTCTATTTTTTCTGAAAAAAAAATGCAAAAGCGGTTCTCATTCGAATACAAATGATTCATGATAAGCTATCCATTTCATCAAAGCGCACATTTTATACTTGAAATCTCATCCATGGGAAAAAGTGTTTTTAAAAGTAGTTTTTTTATGTAAACCGTTTGAGATTTTTTTCAAGCCCAGTTATGTAATTATTGTCTGGAATTTTGATTATTCTTTTTGAAATGTGCATTGTCAACGTAAAAGTAATTAATGCTCTGAATAATGTAAGTTTTTGGTGGAATAACCGAATAGCAGAAGTGATAGCAGAAGTGGGCTGTCGTATTTGATTTTTAGAATTGTCAAAGTCTCGTCTCACTTGTAAACGTCATGTTTGATACAGAAATGAAATAAAAAGAAAGGGAAGTATATTATCTTCATCCTCGGCCGCCTAAAGGACCGGGCATACTTTAAGCGATTTCAGTTGCGACGCGATTTGGCAGTATTCCAATCGTCCATAAGTCGCTGTAAGCAAATTCTAAATGTACAAAAGATAGAGCATTTCATCAACCACGTAGGTTATACACACTATGCATGTACAGTTTGCTAGTGTTGGATATGAAGATTTCTGGCGAATTGCCAAATCGCGTCGCGACTAAATCGCATGAAATATGCCCGGCCCTTAAGAAGCATTTAGAGCAAACTTTAACATCCATTTTCATAACTTCATAGCTTCAATAATTCGCACTTATCCAAAGATTCTGATCGTTATCTTATCGTTCTCTTGTAACAGACATCCGGGTACTCCCAAGATACCTTCTCCCAAAATGATGTCACTCCCGGAAACTCCTTCATAGCTGACGTCATTTTTATCTTATCTTAATGCAATTTTACAACCGAAGTAGCAATAATATCGCACGAAAAAACAAAAACAGAGGCGTTGTCTCCACATGTACTGAAAATGATTAACAATGAAACTTTTGCACGGTAGCTAATAATTATTGATGGGGTCCAAACAGCTTAGACCTGCGCTTGGACCGAGGCCAATTGGAAAAATTTTGCCTGGTTCTCGTAAATGGACCGCTTATGCGAAAATAGATATCGATTGCCGTTACCTGTAATCTCAATCTCTTGATAGTTTCTATATTAAGCGTACTCTTTCGATTTTTATTATGTTTATAGCTTCAGCATCCCTCATACCTTCAAAAATTTGTACCTCTGAATATCAGTCATTGTTCATCAAAATTTGCTATTGCTATAAGCATGCAAACACCAGTGGCGTACCGAGGGGGGGGGGTGGGCGAGAACGGGTCGCGAAATTTTTGAAAGTTACTTACATGGTTATAAAAATGTGCAAGTGAATTGTTTATTTTTGTAAACAATTAAAATAATTTTTAAAATTTTTTAAAAATTCAAATTAGCCTTATAAAAAATTTTTTTCGGGGGCGTGACTGATGCCACGCCCCCTTTTCTAGATTTCAGGGGTTGGGGGCCCGCAAAAATTTTGAGAAGCCCCCTAAAATTTTTTCGGAGTGCGTGGCTGACGCCACGCACCTTCATCTGAAAATTTTTTTTGCCGCGCCCCCCCGCCCCGAGCCGGAATCCTAGGTACGCCACTGGCAAACACTAATTCCGAATGTTCTTCCTTTGTTATGAATTAAAGTTCATATGAAATGTCTTGGAAAATATAGAAGCAATTTTTATTTGAAAAAAAAAGGCAGTTCTACTATCAAAAATTCATAACGATAAATTTCTCCTTCAAGTTCCATTTTTCCCAAACCTATGAATTTTTGTCAAAACGCGCAAAACTTCTCATGTTGGTGTTGTTTCTTGGTAATTAAGTTTTTAAGAAGGCCGAAATAATTAATTTATATTTGCAGTAGAGTCTCAAATTGCAAGGCCTATCTCATTGCAACTTGTAAAAATTGTTGAGTATTTTTCAGCTCGTAGACAATAACGTAGGGGGAAATCCTCTCTTCTCCTTTAGAAATCTGTAATGTAAATCAAAAAATTCATATGTAATAAACTCACCTACCCGTCTAAATAGTGAACATAATGCGCGCAGATCGGGACGTCACTGTTATTTTTTATCTCTAATAATAAGATAAAACAGTGTGGGCCACTTGTTTTTACTACTGACATAGTGTCCCTGCGGTACTGACAGCATGTGCGCGTAACGTGGTCCGAAGGCGTTAGAGTTGAACATGTTCAACAGGCATTATGTTCACGTGCAAAAGTTGTTGGCACTGCAGGGACACCATATCAATCTTTATTCTTCTCGTCTGCACCCAATGAGATGGCATATTATTTGTCTTTGACAGAATAATAGGATGAAGTTTTTCATCATGGTAATTCTTGGGGATAATCGGATAATGCTTTTATCATTTTTACTATCTACTATGTGCCCGAAAAGCGGATGCTATTGCACTTATTCATGTAAAAACCAATAAATTCATACTACTTTGCCAATTTCGTTTGCAGAAACTTTCATTTAGGGCAGAAGCCTGTCA